AATAAATTTTAAAAATATACTAAATAAATTTTAAGTAATTAAAATTATATAAATTATTTCTTTAATAGTTTTACTTATAATTTATTTAATAACTAAAATTATATATATTAATTATATTTCTTTAAAAATACAACTACTTTTACATATAAATTTAGCTAAGATTTAATAATACAAGTTAAAATTATTTTAATATACTTATTTTTAATAATTATTTATTATTAAAGAATATAGTAATTATTTAAAATAAATTTTATAATATTATTTAAGTAAAACTTTTTAATTAACTATTATAAAATTTAAACTTATATAAAAATATATTTATTATTTAATAAAATAAATCTAATAAATTAAATTATATTTTTTTATGATTATTAAATATTAAATTATTTTTAAAAATTAAAAATTAAAAATTTAATATATTTTAATAAATATTAATTTTTATATATTATTAAATATATTTTAATATACTGTAACAAATTTAATAAATCTTTTTATAATTACTAGATATTAAAATTTTACAATTTTTATAAAATATTTTATAATAATTTTATATTTATAATTTAAAAGATAATAGTAATAATAATTATAATTATTAAATAAAATTTAAAAATATAGTAAAGTTATTTAATAATAAAAGTAAAATTTGATAAAATTTTATTAAAATTAAATTTTTAAATATTTATTATAAAGATAATATTTCAATTAGTTATAATAAATGATAAATAAACATTATAATATTATAAATAATTATAATATTATTAAAAATAAGTTGTAATAAGTAGTAATAAATATTATTATATTATAATATTATCTTTATTTTATTAATAAAAATATTTAAATAAATATTCAATTAATTTAATTATGATAAAATATTTTAAAAAAATATTAGATAAATTAAACTTAAAATTATTATTATAAAAAAATAATATATTATTATTTGAAATATAGCAAAGGATCTTATACTTCTAAGCATATTAAATATAATGTTATTCTATATTATAGTCTGATTAACAAATAAAATTTATGAATTTATTTATTATTAATTTTGTATTATATAAATATTATTAGTTATATTATTTAAATTATCTTATGTTATTTTCAAAATTATGTTTTTAAACTAAAATAGTTTATTTCTTAGTTTAATCTAAATCTATTAATTAAAATTAATAAAATATTTTATTAATGTATTTTTAATTTTTTAATTCTTATTATTTAATACTTTATTAGATTTTAAATTTTATTTAAAAATAGAGTAAATTTATTTATTGTAGACATAATATTATCACCTCCTTCTTATTACCTGTGTTACACCTCCTACTTTTTTCATTTTTCATATATATTCTGAAAACTTAGAAATTTTTTCATGTGTGAAATCCTATTTATCACATATGTTAGTGTTACATAGTTTAGAGTTAGGGTTAGAATTAGAGTAAGATATATATATAAAGGCAATGTATAAGAAGTATCACTCTATAATGAATAAATTTACTCTTAAAAATAATATAATTATAATTTTAAGATATAATTATTTTAATAAAGGAAATTAAAAAAATTAAATTTTTAAATTTTTAAATTTTGATTAAAATAATATATATAATTATAAAATTTAATTTTATTAATTTTATTTATTTTTTATTATCTAACATTTTATATAATTACATATTAAATAATTTATATTATTTTATATTAATACTATTAATATACAATCTTTTTAGATTACAACTATTAAACATAGTATCAGAGAATTGATTCTTTTATAGTCTACATATAATTTTAACTAATTTTATGCTAAATTTTAGTTGTTTTACTACTAAGTTATCAAGTTAAGTTAAGTTTATTAAACGTAAGCAGCTTTAATTATAAGTCAAGATTTAGTACAGTAATTCACAAAGAGTTTTATATAAGAAATAAAAAATACTTAACTGAAATAAAAAAGAAATAATAAGATAATAATATATAGAAGAAATAAGGAAATAGAAGTAAGAAATAAAGGTATATATAGTGAAGAGTAGTATTGCACTATCTTTACAAGTAAGAAGTTTCTATACAGCTTTCAGTCTATCTTTTCTAACTTACAAAAGGACTTGTATTTATATTTATTTTATTATATATATTGACATATCTAATATATTAACTATATTAATTATATTAGATATATCTGATATGTTAGACATATTAACTATATATTAAATATATTAATTATGTTTAATATATTTTAACATTATTGATATTTTATACTTCACTATACATTTGTAAATCTGTGATCATCAAAATCAATACCTGGATATAATACTAATTATTAATAGAAATAATAATAGATTGTTTATAATATTAATTATTTTTATTATAGCATTAAATTTACATACTTTATTAATCTATTTATATTTATTAAATTATATTTAATTTTATAAATATATGTTATATATTAATAATTTTTATTTTTTAATTATATAATAATTTATAAATTATTTTTAAAAAAATTTTATATTAGATAATTTTATTATTAATTTTTAATGATTTTTTTAAAATTTATTTATAATTATAATTATAAATATAATAATATAAAATTTATTATAAAATAAATATATATATTATAAATTTTTATAATTTTTTATTAATAATAAAGTGATTTAATTAATATATAATATATAAAATTTTAAAAAAATTTATCATTATAAATTGATTTTTAAAATTATTTTAAAACTTAAAATATTTACTTTTTATATAGTAATTATATTAGTAAAAATATTTTATATTTTATTAATAATTATTATTTCTTTTAAAAATTTATAGACAAATTTGTTTATTAAATAATTTAAAAATTAAAAATTTCTTAGTAAATATAAAATATATGAATACAAGTTATATAATATATATAAAAATTTATTATTATTTAGTTAGAATTAGTTTAATATAAGTATACAGATTAGCTTTCTATTTATCACACTGCATCAGATTATACTGTTTTGTTTTTATTAATTAATCTGAAACTTATAAAACTTTTTACTAAATATTATTTATCACAATCTTATATTTTATATTATATTAAACACCTCAAGTATGATTAAAAATTGCCTAAAAAACTAAAAAAAATATTTATTTTTGAGTTTTATTAATATAAATAATATATAAATATGTGAAAAATTTTAATAATATTAAATCATGAAATATATAGTATTTATTAATAATTAATAATAATACTTAAATATAAAATTAATTTTGAAAAAATTAATTTTGACAAGTATCATTATAAATAATATTTATTTATTTTTAATAATAAATATTTAAATATTATAAAATTACTCTAATTTTATAATATTATTCATTATTATTTTATTATAAAATAAATAAATTTAATAAATATAATAAAATATAATAATACTCTTGTGATTATTAATGAAGAAAAAGTTCATACAAATACAAGAAAAGCATATATAAAAAATTTAAAGCTGATTTCATATTAATAAAACCTATTATTTCATCTACATTACTAACCAGATAATCCTATTTCGATCTTTAATGGAGCGCGCTTTATGGTAGTTAACTTGTATAAAATTCTATAGTACCCCATGTGTATAATGACCCTCCCTTTGGAACGGTTTAGAATGTAAAGTATCCGGGTATTATACATAGGAGTTTACTTTAAAATCAATTGAAAAAAATTTACAATATAAATTAACGCTTTATATAGTACCCTGAAATTTTTGTAAACCGGGTAAATAGAACGCGCACTACGGTATTTACCATGGTTAAAAAAAAAAAAGATTTCTATCCCAGCTACTTATATTTTAAATGAAAGATTATTTAGTAATGTTGGTAATCTAAAGAACACGTTTAAATCCTGAATTGTTTAATAGGCTTATGTTTTTTTTTAAAATAATGCATTATTTGTTATCCTTCCTCAGAAAAATTTATGTAAATATTAGTTTATATTTTATACATACTTATGTAATGGATAATGTCAATAAAATGAATATTACAATAAAATGCATAAAATATAAATACAATCTGTTGATCATTCACGGATATTTAATAATCATCCGGAAAATTTATTGATTTTATTTATATCCGCGGATAATCCGGATCGCTTCACTGATTGGCAGGCTCGAAACCGAATTCATTCCTTTTTATTAACAATTTCCGAAATTATCTGACAAGTTTCCAATTGCCTGAATCCCATTCGAAAAAAAAATTTGTTTCCCACGAATATTTTCCGAAAAAATTTACGCATACATTTTTTATCAAGATTTCTCGTATAAGAAATAATATTCCCCCTAATTATAAATCTAAACCGAGAACCCCACTTCGTTATATATGATTAAATAGGGCATAATCATTATAAAGCAATTTTCAAAAAAAATTAAGACAAAAATCCGTAATTTTATTAAAAGAAAAAGATTGCCAAAGTAAACAAAATTATGCCTAATATAGATCATTTGCCGATAATTTAAGATTTTGATGTACATGTGGTCATTTTAATTTCTATATTTCATTAATTCCGATCGGAATTAAGATTAACCGAGATTTCGAATTTTAAAGTTTGATAATTTTATTGCAATCTTCTTTAGGAAAACACTTTATTGTAATGTCATTTGATAAATTCTGAATAAAAGAAAAAAGAACATTACAAAGCACATTACCTAATTATCTTTTCGAATGTTTCTTTATTATTATGAATTTTTTTTATTTTTCTTGGATCGGAAGAATGGGTTTCAAGTTATACCTTGTTTAAATAATGATCCGATGATTAAATACACAAGGTTACAATTAATTCACTTAATGTCGTACTTTGTTTCCTTATAAGTCAAACTCAAGAATTGAAAAAAAAAACTTAGAACGAAGAAGATGAATGTAGCACAACCCGCCCAGTTCCATTCTTTAGTTATATATAAGCAGCTTAAATTTATCTTGCATTTTAAAATCTGTTTTTTTTTTTTTTTCTTTTTTTTCCAAATAAACACGAAATAAATAAATTTCTTCAAAGGAAGTTATATATAATCATGAAAGTGTCGTCTTATCACGAAGAAGAATATCTAGCAAAATCATCTTATCATGAAGAGGGAGAAGAATATCTAGAAGGATCTACTTATATTAGAGAAGGAGAAGAAGAATATCTAAAGGAAACAGAAACAGACATCGATATAATTAATAAAATGTGTGCTTACTTAAATAAAAAGAGGATTTCAAGTGCTTTAGAAAGTCCTTCAACTTTTTATCGTCCGACAAGTGGAGAGGATGAAGATCGGCTACATTGTGTACATCTCATGTTAAAATATGCTTGGAAGTATAATTTTGCCGCACCTATCAAGGGTTTATTATGCTCAGATGCGGGTGCTAAAGTCCTTGACGTCGGGTAATTATTAACAAGGGTTGGATTATTATTATTGTTAATGAGATTAATATAATTTTCAATTTAATTTCTCTTCTAAATTCCAAGATGTGGTTTGGGTATCTGGACATTAGAAATGGCATCAGAATTTCCTTTAGCAAAATTTTATGGGATTGATTCAGTATCATATTTTCCTGAATCAGTTTCGCCCAAGAATGTCGAGTTTTTGGAAGCGAATATCCTTTATGGCCTCCCATATAAAGATGCAGAATTTGATTATGTGTTTGCAAGAGAATTGATATTTGCATTTCAACCATCCGATTTTGAAAATATCGTAATGAAAGAGATATTACGAGTTGTCAAACCTGGAGGATACATAGAGGTAAATCATCTCTTTTTTTTTTTTTATTTTCGAAATGCATTTTGTTGCGCCACGATTTCTCAAAAGTATTTTCATAGTTTGTTGAATCAGAACTTGAAGGTCACATTTCGACTAAAGCATTGCTCCGTTGGAATAATGAAGGAAGTAAGTAACTTTTCTTATTTTATCTTCGTTGATTTTGCATGTGATCATATTTTTTTTTTTAAAAAAACAAAAACTTTACATATTAGTGAAACCGTGGATTAATTCTCTGAACATCGATACAACAATTAACTGTCGTCTTCAAGAAATTTTTACAAATACAAACCAATTAAAAAATATATCAGAACAAAGGATAAAAATTCCATTCGGTAGAAGTAATGATTTTGTCGGGGAATTTGCCGCTGAAACTACCATGCAATATATAAAATCTATGGCTGAATTATTAATTCCATTCATGAAATTAACGCATGAAGAGTATTATAACTTGACTAAAGAGATTGATAAGGAATTCAGAGATGAAAAAAGTGCCAGTTACTTTTGGAATCGAAGAATTACTGCGATGAAAATTTAATAATAATCGTATATATTTATTATTCATATCATTAATTATAATTATAAACTATTTTCGAACATTATTTATATATATATATATATATATATTATTCTGTCGATTTTGTATTTAAATAAATAAATAAATAAATACATAAATAAACGCGACTTGCAAATCAACTACTTTAAAGTCAAATTAATTCACCATCTTTTTACCATAAAAGATTTTGGGGGAGAATAATCTTGATTCATATCCTGTTTATTTTTAAGTTTGTTATCTGAAGGTGAGATGATATCCATATCATTATATTCATAGCTTTTTTTAAAGGAAGTATGTTCCAAGGAAACGGATTTCTTTGTTATTCTGATACCTAGTTCTTCGTTTCCATTATACGCGACATTGCTACCTTAAATTGCTCATATCTTTAATAAAATCTTTACAACTTGTTGAGTATTAAATTCATTAATTAATTAAGCTTTAAATACCTTTAACCACAGAATTATCATTATCTATCAACTCTTTCAACTTTTCAAAATATTTTATTCTATCTTGGACTGTATATTGGGCAACGCGTCCACTTGTCGATATAATGTAGAAAACCTTTGTATGACCGGTATGATCGTCCCACCGAATAAAATGATTTGCTTGTTCCCCCCAACCTTCGGTCATTAACTTTTTTTTTATGGGCAAGGTATGAATTCGAGCGCTTTGAAAACTTGTAAACGCCTGAAACATTGTTTTTCCATTAAAGCAAAGAACCTTTGGTCGATACTTTTCGACCTTCTCAAGTAGGGTTGGAAATCCTTGCTTAATCTCTTCAACAGACAATTTTGCCTTAAAAGGAAATAAAATAAAATAAAATTACAGCAAATATACTTTGTAAATTTGATCCATTTCAGATTTTTTATACCTTTGAACGTTGTTCGGGTCTCGAAATCAAAGTAACAATTCCAATCTTATAATCTCTCGCGAGACGTCGATCATCCAGATAAGTTAACTTATCTCCGTTTGTCATGCCTAGAAGTTTATTAGTGAATCAATTGATAAAATAAAATAAAAAAAAAAAAAAAATGCTATTTAAATGCATACCACTTTTATATAGCGCATAATAAAAATAATTATTAAACGATGAATAATGATGTCTTTCCTTGATACTCTTCTTTCCAGAAAAAAGACCTACAAATAAAACTATATAGAAAAAATTTGATTTTATTGACACCTCATGTGAAATAATTATTTCATTCGTATTTCCTACCATTTAAATTATAATCAATGATATCAGGAACATTAAAGTTATCTTTAAATTCTTGTTCATGCTGGCTTTGCAGGAAAGTTCGGTTTCTTTTGTAAGTTTTCGTTGGACCTTTTACAAATGTCATATTCATTCAGGTGTGAGAAAAAAGAAGAAGCTGAAGATAATCACACCACTAGAGCATGTACGGATATACGCGAAAGGTTAAACTCTCAGGATGACTAGTCACATGAATAGTTTACGTGCGAAATTTTATTAATATATATAATAAATCACACCTTTTATTTTTCAATCAAACTTTTAATATAAATTGCTAAAGGTTCTGTGGTTTAATTGAATGCAAATTTTAATGACATGAATCACTAGGCGGAAACTAAAAAACAAATTATACACGTATACGGTTCTTTTCAATAAGCTTTATTTAAAACAAAACATGACACACAAATTGCACGAGATAAGGGTATTCTGCTGAATTATCGATTCCCGCACCTATGGTGTAATTCCTTGACTGAATGGCCAAGCAAGTGAAGCTCCCATTTATTAACATGGCTGAACAGGTAGTCAAATGCAGCCTGATTCTCAATAGCCACCCCCTCGTTTGAAGAATGATTCCCCTTGACCTGCTGGTGCCTTTGTCAGCTCTTTCCAACTAAGCAAAGAACTGAGAAATCCTTTACATGTACTGTGCACACGTGTAAGTAACATATGGACTTTATATTATTCTGCAAAGCTAATAAAGTAAGAAACATTTGTAACAAGCTCGCATAGAGTGTTTTAACAAAGGCAAATGCTTCATCAAATTGGTAACGATTTCAACCCCTTTTTCTTTTTGCGCATCTTCAAAAATCTGAATGGGTCAAAGTTCAATGATAACTTTCATGTGTTCTAAAGACAATTCTTTCCTTAGAACTCTTTCCTATTTGAAGATCATACCAAACAGAGTAATTTGTTCTGATGCAACCATTTTCCAACTCTTTTCACATAATCAGTTGGATCGTTTACATATTTACATATATAAGCAACATAACGTCGAACTATGATGAATTATAGCACATGTCCACATATTCCGAAGAGAATGATCTTCTGAATCTGTGTCAATGCTTTTATTGAAAGATATGTTATAAACGGATATGTTATCGTTACTTTATTTGCTATATACAAAGGCCTTTTTTTTCCACGTAACCTAATTCTTGAATTATATAATAACAGAAACTATATCTCAAATGAATGATAAATAATGAAGTGGAGAAGTATCGAATGTCAAAATTCATCAAACTACTAAGTGTCGTGATCATCCAACCTTTTCGTTGTTTTATTCCTAATAAGATACCAGCCCTACAAGAGAATTGACGTGACATTCAACATTTAATTCATTAACGCTTGAAAATTTTTCATCGAGAAATTTCACGTAATGAATTTATTAATGAATATCATTCACCATTATAAAAAAAAAATTTAAAATTATGGATTAAAGAAGTTTCATACAATTTCTCGATAATTTATTTTTAGCGTTTATAAATAATGAAAAAAAAAATAGAATACTACCGGTGACGCAGCTTTTTTTATTTGAATAACGTAGTGTAGCATTTATTTGACATTATATGGTTTGATAGCCGATTCATCCAATCGTATATGTCTACTTTACGAGAATTTATCTCGGAATTACATCATACCATTTTTCTGAGAAACTTGCCAAACTACAAGTCAAGCCGCGTGATTATACCTAGAAGTAGTGGCGATGTAAACGTTGTGACATATGATTCATTGCTCTTCTTGTAGCAGTTCGATAGAAGTCGTAAATACTAAGAGATCCTGACATGGCAATTTTTTTTTGAAACGTTCCTCATTATTCGTATGATGCTCCCTTTATGCTAATTTCGACAACTGCATCATATTAGCTGTGAAGGTGTTTCGTCTACCTGTACTATTTTTCACTACTACCGCCATCATCTTTTCATCTCCGTTCGCCATAATTATGGTAAGTAATAAAGACCGGGACTCCTGATGATGTCGCTTTGGATTTCATAATTCCAAGCTTTCCAATGATGTTCTTTTCTTCCTCACCATGACTGCATTCGTATTCTGCAAATGATCGTAACCACTAATCTGACAGGCAAACTTTGTAATAATTTCTTGTATGATCCATGAAGCCATTAGTTTAAGACAATACCATCAGCAAAGCTTTTACCTTGTACTGACATTAAAATATATATATCCACACTTTTTGGCAAAATATCCCACAACAAAAAGATGCGACCGATGCGGGAGCTCGCAAAACTTTGGTAAGCCGTGTGATCTGAGAATAACAACGTATCTCCAATTCTTTTTGAAAATCAAGTTGCAAAAGTTCTCCCTGACTGGAATATCTAAACTGATAATAGAGTGTGTAACATACCTAGAATAGAATATCATAAAATCACATTCTAACCTTCACCGACGCTTATACGAATCTCGAGATTTTTAATAATCGCAATATTCGTTATTCGTGAAGGGTTTCAAATTATTCAAATGTATCCTTCACTAAATAAAAGTAAGAAGTACAAATAACCTTGTTAACATCACTTCTGGCTTCTATGAAACAACGGAGAGTGGGTTTGACTTATTTTTTTGGTTTATGATTTTAATTGGTAAACAAACCTGTTCAGATTCTAGTTCGGACCGGATCGACCGAAAATAAAATAGCCAATCATTCAATGAGTAAGGTTCAACAGAAACATAATTTTACAAACGGTTTGAATACGAAAATAAACACAATATTTAAATCAGTATATATTATGTAGCAAAATCCAAGCACTGTTAGCAAGAAGTTCTTCCATTACATGATCCCATTCAATTTCAACAATTAGCTAATGTTATACATTCTTATTCTGTATTTTTATCATAAGGAATGAAGCTTCAAGTTTGTGTTGAACTTCAATTAGCTGTATCTTAGTTCTACTGAAAGTTAATTTATTCATACTTTGGAATAGATAATTCTTTATACCAAACAAGTTATTTAAACAATTATGACACAAAATAAAAAATTTTATTAAATGGCCTACTTTATAAGTGTGTAGAATATAGTTTATTAATAAATTATATAATATTAAAAATATATATTTGTTAATATATATCTACTAATACCATATAATTTAAAATTAAGCACCCACATTTATATGTGATTTAATTAAGTTTAACTTTAATAAAAGGTCACTTTATCTATTTGTTTACATCATTACTACTACTTATATAATCTTTAAATTATTATCATTAATACTATCATTATTAATGTTATTTTTAAAATATAATTTTATATTGATATATATTTTATTTTACTTAATTAATTTATAATATAGTAAATAGTTAGTAATATTAAAAAATTTTAAAAAATTATCTTACTTTTTATTAAAATTATGATAATTTTAAACTATTAAATGATTTTAAGTATTTATAAAAAATTAATTATAAATTATAAATATACTTTTTTTAATGTATTTTCATTAAGTATTTAATTATAAGTTACTATGCTAATTTATTATAGAATTTTTTATCAAATTAAATTAAATAATTTATAAGTTTATATTAGATAAATCATAAAATTAATTCAGAAATTCTAAATATTTATAAGATAATAAGATTTTTAGATTATAAATTTTAATAAAAAATATTTTTTATTTTTTTTTATATTTTTAAATAAATTATTTACTATAGTAATTAATTATATTTAAAAATAAATATTATATAAATATATTGTATTTTAAATGATAATTTACATCAGATGATAACTAGCTTAAATTATAAATCTATTTTGAACTGATCTTATAATATCTTAAAAAAGTTTAGTCAGCATTAATCATCTGATATATGTCAACTATCAGTTGATATAAATTAATATCTGATGTACAATAAATATATATGATTATATTTTTTTAAAAAAAAAATATAGAATAATATTTTATTATTATTATAAATATTATAAATTATTTAAAAGTATAATAATTTTATAATATTTAATTTATTATTATACTATATTTTTAATAAAAAAAAATATATAATATAGAATAAAAAAATTGTATTTATGAGATAATTCCTTATATAAAAAACAAAAATGCAAATTATATAAAATTTATATACTTTAAAGTTAAAAATCAACTTATTTTTATTAATAAATTTTTTTTTTAATTATCATTATTTTCATAATAAGTTCATTTAATATTTGAAAATATAGTAATTAATAATTAACTAAGAATATTTGCTTTCAAATTAATTTAAATAAATATTTTAATTATATAAAATAACCTAATGTTACTTTAATTTTTTATATCAATTTTAGTAATATATAAGATTTATAAAATAAAAAAAATAATTATCAGAAAACTAATTTTATTTTTACATATACTAAATATAAGTTTTAGGCTAAAATATATTTAAATTAGTATGATTTATTTTTCTTACATAAAGTAAATAAGGTTGGTAAAATTAAGAATTAGTTCTGAAACCCAAATATAAAACCTAAAACTAAAAAAAAACAATTTTAAACATGAAGTCTTAACGTTAACAATGTTTCAAAATTTATCGTGGAATTATATCACGTGATTAGTAATTGACCAATGAAAAACGAGACATTAATCATTTTTTTTTGTGTATCATTTTAAAATTATAATAATTCGGCTGACATTATGATTAATTACCATAATGCCAGCTCGAATTATCATAAATTTTAATCAATAATATATGGGATCTTTGTAATAGAAAGGGGAAACAGCCGGAAAAAATCAATTTTAATTTTATAAGCCAAATATAATTTTTTAGATCAAACCAGCCATTTTCTCCCTTTTCTATTGCAAAGGTCCATATGTTTCAAATTCAGAACGATTATATGAAAATTATTCAATTTTAAATGGCTATAACTTTTTATATAGAACTTATTTTAAAAAAACTGACGGTAATTAACATTAAATAGAGCTTATCTCAAAGAATAAAGCTACCAGTTTATTTTTTCTAAATTTTTTTTAAAGAGTTGAAAGATTTTTAAGTGTTACATTTATATTGTTAAGTATAGACTTCCTGCATCATATTTAAAAAAAATTTTAAATTTAATGAATTACTTTAACTTTTAATTAAAAAATTATTATTAAATATGCTAATCAAATTAAATTTTTTTTTTAAAATTATCAGGACTTATCTAACCCTAATTGCAAAGGTATGTAATAATAACAAATATTTTAAATTGTCACGCGATACAGGTCATAGACGTTCCACAATTACGGATTCAAAAGGTCCAAGACATTCATTTCTGACTGGTGGGTTTTTCGTTTTCGGAGTTGTGTAACTATAAAGAACTAATAAAAGTTATTATTACACTTTTTCATAGTCACGTTTTTGCTTGGGGATAATGAAAAAGTCTACCAAAGGACGGTCAGTCTGAAATTGACAGCTATGCCATAATGATTGCATACATGACATTTTCATGTGAACAATGTAGAAGTACCATAGTGAAAAAAAAAAAAGGTATTTATTTATTTATTACATGTGTGATTAAGATCTAAATTTAAAAATTAAATCAAAAGGTTGCGGACTGTTGACTGCGAGAAGGAAAATAAAAAAAATAAAATAAAAATAATAAAAAAAACTCAAAAAGTCAACTTATCATTTATTTTTCCGCAAATTCTTTAAACCATTGGTATCGTATGTTGTTAACCTTCCTAATAATTTTATGATTTTATTCGTTTTACAAATGTAAGACTTGTAAACACATAATGTGTAATTATTTGTAAGGGTTTTTTTCGAAGCAGGGATTTATTTTTGAAACTTACAAATAAGATTTTGAACCCGATATAGTACATGTTTCGATTTTTTTTTTCCGAATATACAAATAAATTATCAAATTCCTGTAAAAAAATATATATATATATATATATTTTTTTTATTTTTAATTGGAGAGAAACAAATCGACAACTTTCTTCGTTATGCATATATATTATTATGATCAACATCTAGCGAATGAAAGTGACATAATTTCATTTGTTCACTATTATGTATTAGTTAATAAAATCATGCAACATGCAAAAACATTTGCATGTAAACATGGGGAACTATTTTACTTACAAACAATTTTATATATGCACAGCTTGCCAAAGACAATTTTAAAAATAAAATGATCTTCGTTGAACAAAAAGAACGCCAAACAAAAATGTTTAAGTAATTTATTTTCAAGTGGTGTTTATGTTTGTATTAATTATAAATGAAGCTAATATCGTACAGGAATTAACCAATTATTTAATATTAGAGACGCGTCATTATTAAGGGTTTGCCATTAAAAAAAAAAAAAAAAAAAAAAAAAATACTATAAACTATACTATTATATATTAAGTTGTAGTTATATTGTTCTATAATAATTAATTTTACATATGACCTTTGTTATACGTTTTTGTTAATAATTTAAATATCTTAATAGATTCGGTGAGGATTTTAATTTCAAGTGATTCTTTAACGCACTGTAAATCATAATCCCTTTTTCCTTTAAATCAATGCATTTACAATATTTAAATGATGCAAAAAATTTTGTGAATCCGTCGTATTGGGTCCAAGCCATATGCAAAAGCTTATTTGCATCTGGCTGACGGTATTGTAAAAATAATAAATTAAATCTTACCAGCTAATTGTTTTCAGGAAACACAATTAGATTATAAACAAAAGGAAACAAAAAAAAAAAATTTAAAATTTTAATCACCAAATCTACATAAAAACCCACGAATTTTGACTCAAGCATGAAGGAATCAAGCTCATTGTCTTGACCTTTACAAATAGTCCTCCCCCCTTCGAAAAAAAAAAAATAAAAAATAAAAAAATAAAAAAAAAAACTTTAAGGGTATATGAAAAATAAGTAACTTTCAAATCTTATATATAAAATTTATTCTATTATGCCAAATACAATTAGTGATTATCCTTCCGTTCCTCTTGTTCAAGATTTTTCTACAAATCTTGAGCAAGAAATCGAAGATGCACGTCAAGTTAAGCCACCATTTCCTCCACAAATTACTCCAAAAGATTTAATAGTTCATAAAAAAAATGGAGACGTTCCGTCTCGATCGCCTAATGCCTTCATGATCTACCGCAAGCTCTTCGTCGATGAGTTACATAATAAAGGACTTTACTTACCGATGACGACAGCGTCTTCTATGGCATCTACGTCGTGGAAGAATGAGCCGGAACCCATTAAGCAAGAATATAGACGCATTGCTTCTGAGGCGAAAAGTCGACATTTGAGACTGTATAACCAAATTCCACGTAAAAAGCGAAATCAACGAAAGATCCGGAACGTACAATCGACAAGCTGGTTACAGATCATACCGCAATATGATCAATCAAGATCGGATAATTCAACAGCCGTTTCGTCCCCGATTGCACCTTCTCCCATATCTGAACCCACTTCAATTTTAACTGATGGCATTTCGCGTCATATACCTTATGGACTAACTTCGATACATCTCAATGACAATGAGCCTGCAGGGTTTTATTTGCCACAAATTCATCAATTTCCCGTGGAAATCGAAAGAAATAATAGCAATCCCGCAGGAATTCCATCGATGGAACCGGCAAGTAATAACCCTGGATTTGGAGATCATGCTAATATGGTTCTCTACGAGAATTTCGTAACGAATTATCATTCTCCATATTCTCCATATCAACAACCTTACGAACTTCAGGGCCCCGTCCCTCAAAACTTCCTAAATATGCCGTCTTTTCCTTATTACTATTAAGGAATAAAAAAAAATGATACAAAATATATATATATATCATCGACGTTATTTTTCTTTTATTTGTTTATTTATTTTTTTAGAATATACGATTCTTAACCACAATACAGAACACAATTATGTCATGCCGGTTATGATTTTTCGTTAAAAGTTCGCATTCGTAGTGATTTTTTCCCTTGAATATCTCGATATTTTAACACAATTTTTTTTGTTTTTCATCTTAAGCTGCGCTTCAAAAAAAAAAAAAAAAAAAAAAAAAAAACTAGTAGAGTTGTTAAGATTACAATAATTAAGGTGTTTGCTTTGTATATAAATAATAATAATAATAATTCAATAATGATGAATGAATTAAAAAAAAAAAAAGATAAAATAAAATAAAATTTTCAAATTGTTAATTTAATTTTGATCCATTTTTCTTTTTCCATTTTTTTTTTTTTTTTTTTTCAAATGACAAATTACGTAATTAGGGGATAACGTTCCACGCCATTATCGTTTTACGCCTTCAAATTTAATATCGCGAGATGTTACACGGTCTTTTAACATAAATATATAATAAAAATAATCGGCAGGTAACGTGGGTAATTCAATGTTTGTGTTTGATTCCTATTAGTAAGACATCACTCTTTTTAATGAGGCAAAAAAAAAAAAAATAAATAAAAAATAAACAACAAATGTAAAGAGTTCCCTGCTTACATGCACATTATAATGTAATAAATTTGACGCTTTATGTTTGTAAGTTTTAATAAACAAATCAGCAAAATATAAAAAGATATAATCAAATTGGTAGGAGAATAATTTACATGCATATTTGGCATATTAAAGACAAAGTGATGACATCAATTTAATCAATTTTTATAATGTCAATAAATCCGTTTTTTTTTTTTTGGCAAAAAAAATCTAGACTCATAATTATGAGCGATGGCGAGATACACAGATTTGATCGATCGACGGTTATGTGTAACGATGCATCTTAAATTCCAATTAAAAAACCTCTGTGATCAACTTCAATATTCACCATGGAAGAAAATATCGACAAAATACGACGCTTAATTATTGCATCTTTTTATATTGTAATTTTGCTTGGTTTACCCTTATGGTGGAAAACTACCGAGGTGTATCGTGCGCAATTACCATTTGCCGAAATTGAAGAATGGTCACATTGGGAGGTTAGTACTTGGTATGTTTCTTACGTTTTATATTATCTTTCCCATTTCATTTTTTAATAAGTTTTAAATATTTAATTTAATATAGGCATTTGACTTGGAGTTTCCAACGCATTTTACAATTTATGTTGCTAATGTTGAATCGGATAATATTAATTTTGCAAATCTGTCTTCAATTTTGGAAAATTCGATTATATCAAGATACAGTGATGCAAAAGTACATAATATTAAGAAGTCAATTCGATTTCCAGTTAAGGTGGAATCATTATACTGGGATAACTGGACGGATTACCTTCAAGAAGGTAATAATATCACAAGCATTTGTAATTTTTATTTTTATTTTTATTAATTTCTCCTTGTTAAACATTTTATAGGGAATTTTGGAACATTAAATTCGGTAAGTGAAAGTGGTCGATATGTATTTTACATTATGCCAAATACAAAATCAAATTTAAAAGCCAAAGTTTTGGTGGGAAATCAAAGACAAGCTATTATAAAAATAAATCATTGGGATACGAGTAAGTATGTTAATATTAGGTTAGTTTGAATGTGATAAATTTATTAAACGAATTTCTCTTTATAGATGTGATTGAAAAGACGATTTCTGATCTCATAATCAGTTTACTCACGCCAGAACAAATTTCAATCAAAAAATTTATAATGGAACCTTCTCCAGATTCAAAAGTTGAAGTAGATAGCATGAGGACGATGAAATATTCACCACAATATCAAGTAACGTTTAGTCTCATGAATGGAGATCCATCGAACCTACTGGTGAATTGGGATATAGAAAAGGCAGTAAATAAATATTTGCAACCCTTTGTTGATAAGATCTCTGTGATTTCAAATTTGATAGTAGATTCACAAATTCAACATTATGCAAGGTTAACATTTGAACCACATCATAAAACAGATGAACAATTTTTTTCTTTAACGCCAGAATTATTGCCACATTTCGTAAATGCAGCAGAATGGAATCTTGCTTCTGCTGTTTCATCATATCCAACATTAAATTTTATTTTGTACGTGCCTTCAAAAGAGCAAAGTCCGTTATACATTCAAGATTCTAAAGGTATTTTATAAAAAGCATTAATTCATTTTTTTCGAACCTTTTTTTTTTTTTTTTATTAATATCTATTTTAAATCAAATCAAGGTAATATCATGGAAAGTAACGCCTTTCTGATACCAAGATGGGGTGGAGTAATTATCAATAATCCAGATAGATCCAACAGCTCTCATGATTTTTCATTTGAGGAGTTAAAATCGGTGATGTCTATATTTTTAATGCAATTAAGAGGACTACTAGGCGTTCAAGATGTTTGGATTGATGCAAAACATGCTTTGGTACTTAAATTTTTTATATTTATAAATTTTATAAAATGTATAAAAAATATAATTTTTTATTTTAAAAAAAAAATAAAATTCACTTTAGGATGAAACGATTAGTATCGAGTTTGTTGCACCTCCAAATACAGCAGTCACAATGTGGGAATTTGACAGTTTAGTGAGGAGACGTATCGCAGAGAACATCGTGACTACGATATCAACATTAAAATCTTTATCACAATTAGTAACGGAAATTCCAAATATGGTTGTATTGGATCATATTCAAACTGAGGTATCCAATTCATTTAATAACTTGAATTATTTAATTCTAGTATATTTTAATAATAATTAATTTATTATAAAGGTTTTGCTGGCATTGGATAATTTATCAAAGGTATTAGTTTAGAATTTATTGATTTATGGTATATTATTAACAAAAATTTTTAACTTGTTTATTTTATCAATTCATTATAGTCATGCGCAAGTTTGCATAATAAACAGTATGGTTTAGCCTTATATCATTCAAAAAAGGCAATTGAACTTGCGGAATCCGCCTTTTTCGATCCAACAATGGTATCAATGCTCTATTTTCCAGACGAGCACAAATATGCTATATATATGCCTCTGTTCGTTCCAATATCAGTACCATTGATTGTTGCACTTTTCAGAGAGATTAGGAGTTTTAGAGAAAGACGAAACTGATCTTTTAAAAGAAGAGCTGCGGTTTAAAATGAATAGATTTGGGAGATAGATAATTTAAAATATCTATAATTTCCAAAAGTGGTATACCATATTATAAATCAAAACGTCTAATAAATAATTTTCCCTTTGACGATTTAGATTTAGATCTGACGCCCATGTTTGAATCGCGTGTATGTTGTTTCATGATAATCTTTAATATTATATCCAATTATACCTCTTTATATTTGAATATGATCATGCGTTAATTTCGGTTTTGTGTAATATATATTTATATAAAAATACTGTAGATGCAGACATCAATTTTTTTTCCTTGATTTTACGTCGCGTAATATATATTAGTGAATTTTAAAGTGTGATATCGACTTTTTAAAATGTTTGTTCGTTATACATTAGACTTTCTTCGTATTCATAGTCGAAATTTTTCTTATCGACTTAACGCAATTCCTGTACGGACATATACCGTAAGTTTGCTTGATTTCATTTGCTCGACCCAATATTATTTGTTTCCTTTTAATCACACGCCCATTTTCTGTTTTTCTTTAATTTTCTAGAATTTAACGGGAATTGTTAAACCTCGTTGCGCAATTTTGTTTCCAGGTAAGCAATTGTACTTGTATAACAGAGCTGATATTTTTGTCTTGCTCTAAAAAATCAAATATCTGTTTCTTTTTTTTTTCTTAGTTATATTTTTCATGAATTCATTAAGAAGCTTATAAAGACCAGAAATTTTCTTGCTAGGTGTTATAGGAAAATTATTTTGATTTCAAAAAAAAATTTGAAATATTTTATATAAAATTATTAATTAAACAATAATTGAATTCAACCTTAAATATTAATCTTACAGGTCAAGGCGCGCAATATGTTGGAATGGGAAAAGATCTTTACGAGAATTTTGCTTCGGCACGTCAAATTTTTGATGAGGCTAATGAGGTATTAGGATTTGATCTAAAAGAATTAATATTTAATGGAACGCAGGTATGTTCATTTTTTGTTTTTATTATCGTCACCTTTTGATCAACCTTTTTATACATTTTAATCATGCGAATTTATACATATTAGAGAGAATTGATGCAGACGGAAAATGCGCAACCCGCAATATTAACAACATCTTTGGCCATTCTTCGTATATTAGAGGTAATTTGTGATATTGTTATGATTTCACGTAAATGAATGCTAATTATTGAAAAAATTTTTTTCTTGATTTGATTTTAGAGTGAATTCGGTTTTGATGTCGAATCCGCTTGCACTTTTGCGCTTGGTCATTCATTAGGGGAGTATACAGCTCTCGTTGCTACAAAATCATTATCCTTACATGATGCTATCAAGCTTGTGGTAGGTTATGTACAGATAAATTTAACTTTATCGAGAGCATTTACTTATTTCGTTTTATTTATAGAGATTACGCGGAGAATCCATGACAAAAGCCGTTTCAAAATTGAAAGTTAAAACAGCCATGTCAGCATTGATTGTACGAGAAGAGAATTTAGCAGAGATAGAAGATACGATAGAACAACTTAATTTATCTTTGCCTGAAGGTGAAGTAGTAGAACTGGCAAATATTAATAGTGTAAGTGTAACTATACAATCTTCATAATGATAGTTTTCATTGAAAGTATAAAATTTTATTAACTATTTTAATTTACAGTCGTTTCAAGTGCGTATTTTTATGAGCCGTATTTTCCTTGAAGTAAATGAAATTATTTAATAAACATTTATTCCATGACAGGCTGTGATAAGTGGTACCAAAAACGCTGTTGACTATGCATCAGAAGTACTACAATCTAATCATCTTGCAGCGAGAGCTTTGGACCTTCCTGTATCGTAAGAAATCATTTATCAATTTTGACATTTATTATTGAGTTTGAAGCAATTTTTTAAATTTTTTTTTTTTTTTTTTGTTAGTGCACCATTCCATTGTAAGCTGATGCAACCAGCTGCCGACATGATGAAAGCATCACTTCAAAATATAACATTCAATAATCCAGTTATTGATGTCATATCAAATGTGATGGCTAGCCCGGTAATGATATTTTTGAATTAATTTTTATGCCATTAATTATTACTTATTCTTTTTTATTGTTATTGGTAGATAAATTCCATCACTGAAATACCTCGTTTGTTAGAAAAACAAGTTACTGCAACTGTTCAATGGCAAAAGAGCATAAAATTCTGTAAAGAGAGAGAGATTAATAATTTTATTGTAATTGGGCCCGCTAGAGTTCTAGCTAATATATTGAAAAAAGAATACCCAATGGATCGTGTTAGGTTAGACGGTGCTTTATGATTACGGCTTTTGTTTTTTATTTATTGTTGTTGATAATTTATTTGTTTGTTTATTAGACCTCTTACTACCGTTCAAGATATACAACTAAATTCGGAAGATTTAAAGATTAAGCAACTGAGCACTACATAATGTGTAAGTTCATACGTTCTTTTGTATTTTTGTTGCGTTTACTTAATAAAATTCATTTATATTATTATAGAAATTGATTGATCCCGATTTTGTAACGACGAATTAATTTATGTAGCATTGATAAGAGATATATATTATCCTTATATACAGTAAGGATAGAAATTTTTTTAAAAAAAACCTATTTTTATTAAATAAATTTATAAATATTATATAGATGCTATTATTATATGTACGTGTAAATTGCATCGTAGTCAGTTTTATAAATAGATATAACTGTGAAGCTTCCTAAATTTTTTTATTTTATTTTATTTTATTTGTTTAACCAACCATTTAAAAAGGTTCTTATAAAATTAAATTATTGACCGTTGATGATTTCAATATAAAAATTTAGTTTTATTTATAACAATTTATAACAACGCTGATCACCGAAATTCGAACTTAAACAGTGTGATTATATCATAATACGTCAATCAAAAAGTTTATTTTCCGAGAATCAAAAATTATGAACTTTATTGCATCAAAAAAATGAAAAAAAAAATTCGTTGGGAAACATATAAATTATTCTTAACGAAATTTAATTTGAAAAAGAAAATTAAAAAAAGTTCAGACTAAATAATAGGGCTAGGATAAAAGGGGCGACGATTTACTTGTTGATCTCTTTTTTTGCTTCGCCAGCATTTTTTTTGATCTTGCCTTCTCCTTGCATCTGTTCATTACCGAGAGCTTTACCAGTGGTTTCTAGAAGTTCAAAATCAAACATTAGTATATTTATGTAAAAGATTAAAAAATGGTATTTTGCATTTTAAATATAAACCTTTCAAGCCTCCGGTTGTTTTATCTTTGTAACCTTCTGCTTGTCCCTGAACTTGTGCAGCTTTGTATTCACCTTCACCTAAAAAATAACGAAGGAAATCATAAATTACACTTTGTATTATAGATCAAGTTGTGATATCAAAAAAAATTTTAATTACCTTCGGCTTTCTTTGCTTTTCCTTCGGCTTTCATTTGTTCATTGCCTAACGTATTACCTACGGTTTCTTTTGCAGCACCTTGGTAGTATTTAGTATTACCAGAAATTTTGGATGGTTCGTTTGAAGACATGATGATTAATTTGTTGATTGTTTTAAAAAAAGTGGTTTTGTGTTTTTCTTTTGTTTATTTGATCAAATTGATTAAATATTTGAGTTCGAGTTGAAAAAAAAAAAGGAAAGTTTTGTAGCGTATTTATAATATTTCATGGTCGTAGCAATCTTGATGTCATGATAACGTATGTAGTATTTTTCGTGAAAGAAAGAATATATAACTACGAAATTTACATTTTATTGTGATGGAACTATTTGCGAATGATGATCAATTTTTTCATCATCATTACAAGATTTACAGGTGAAATAAAGGATGCGCCAAATAAAATTGGTAATTATGACGAATATATAAATCATCACATAAGGTGTCAAATGAAAATAATTGTGTTGTTTATTCTTTAATAGGAAAACTCTCATACTAATTAATGAGGTATGACAAGATCGACACGAGCTGTGTCGATGGGACGTCATTATGATCCAAATTTTAATCATCACCAATCACAAAAGTCGTTCCTTTTTGATATTACCAAGTCAAAATTAAATACCTAAAATCTTTTAATTAATAAAATCTAAAGTTGGGTTCCTGTTTCTACGCGTTGTAAACGTGTCATATTCATATTATTATTATTTTTTTTGGCGTAATATGTGAACCAATACAGCAACGAAAAATAATTTCAAAGTTAAAAATATCTTTTTACAACTAACATTTCGAAAAATGAAAAGAAATTTTCTTTCTGTAGAATTTAATAACATAGCGAGCATTTAATAATAAATATCTAATTGCTTTGTATTTTCACATAATGGATATCTTTTTTATAAAATTTATTTTATTTTTTGTGATATTACGGAGTTTATATGAAAAATTAACTTATCCAATAATATATATTTTAAAGCTAATAAATAAAACGATAAATTTTTTATAAATTTTATCAGCTGTAATTTTTGAAATTAGTTCTTCTGATCCTTGCGGTTAATTTTTGAATAGCATTTAGTATCTAAAGTGGTTGACGAAAGGGATCTTTTTTTATTCTTGCAGTATTAATGATTGTGCTTACATCTGAAGATGTATTTATCATTAAAATTTGCAATAGCTTGAGATATATAGTTTTTTCGCAATAATATTGATAGCATGGATATATTTGAGGAGGCATTAAATCTTGCTTTTTCATTGGATAAAGCAATTCGTCTTTTAAGAATATATTAATTAGTTTGTTAAGATTTTTTTTTCAGTAGGTTTTTTTCAAAAGTAAAATTCGCCTAAAATAAAATCATGTTATTAAGCTTGTAAAACCTTTTTTCATGGTTTCTTCCATTTTTTTTAAAAATAATGACGAAAAAGAGGACGATAATAAACTTTCCTTTAATAATTTTAAGTTTAACCACACGATAATATCGTTATAGTGCTTTGCAACGATTGATATCAAAATTATAGTGGCTAAATCTGACTGGATCACAATTTTTGAATATTTATCGTTACAAAACATCATAACTTATAAATACCTAAATTAACAATAATTTTATATAATTTTAGATAAATAGAGATTTTTATATTTAATAGTAATTTTTTGCGAGACTTTCATAATTATTGTACCACTTCGTTTAGATTGTGATACCTAAAGTGACTATATAACTAAAATTTTAATCCGATTTAAAGCCTGTAATCAGATTTTTAATATATTTAAATTTGAGTATTACTTAATTTGTGACTTTTAAAATATTTCACTTGCAATTTTTCGTGGTAATATAATAAAGTTATGATCATATGACGCGTCTTATACACATAAGTAAATTTAAATCAGTAGTTAATATGTACGACTTTCTTTTATTTTTTTAAATATGTTATGAAGACAATTCCACTTCACCGAAGGGAATGTATTTTTGCCCTTATCCAAGAAGGTTTACCAAGTCATATAATTGTTTTCACAAAAATATAAGTCATGCTTTTGTAATAAGAATCAACAAAGAAAAGAAGAAACAGGCAGCTTTGATGTTATTCCAAAACTAGGCTACCCAAGAATACTTACAGAACATCATGATAGAAATATTGCCAGGTTTATTAAGTCAGGTGAATGTATAAATGCTATTCAAATTCAAAAATCTTTAATTTTCAATGAAAATATTGTATTTTACCAAATACTATTAGATGCTCATTGAAAAGGCAAAGTTTTATAGCTAGAATTAAAAAAATATTACTTCTAAAGAGACATAGAAAAATCCAAAAAAAATTGCTAAAAAATATAAGAATTGAACTATAGAAGATTAATGAAAAGTAGTGTGATCAGATGAGAGTAAATTCTTAATTTTTAGTTTGAATGAGAAAAAGTGATATTAGCAAGTTCTAAATTTACCTTTGTAACTATAATATATTAAATTAACTATAACGTTTAGTAGAGATTTTATAATAATATAAGTTATATAAGTTCATTTGATATTGGAAAATATTGTAAAATTAATAGAAATAAATGGAAAGCTATATAAAGAAATTTTAGAAGATGAGTTTTTAGGGACCCTGGATGCATGTAATTTGAATATAAATGATATTATTTTCTAACAGAATAATAACTCAAAATATACAATAAAAAAATATATAAATGGTTTGATAATAATAATATTGAAATTTTAGATTGGCTAACACAATCATTAGACTTAAATCTTATTGAACATTTGTAAAATGAAATTAATCATTATTTACAATAACTTCTTGATAATATTACTAGTGCAATAAATTTGTGAAATAAGATATAATTAATATAGAATCAAATTGATATTGATTTTTATTTAAAGCTAATTGATACTTTATCATAACAAATTAAATATATATTTAAGACTAATAAAAGATATATGAGATAGTAACAGTTTTGTTAAAAAAATTTGAAAAATTTATGTTTTTAATTTTATTTATTATGTGTCAGAAGTCTTGTACTATAAAATTAGTTATAAAAGAATTTTTTTTTAAATTATAAATAAAAGAAATTTAAATTTAAATATATTATAAAAAAAGACTGAATAATACATTAAATAAATTTTGATCATTAAATTTTAATTTATTATGATCTAAAAATTATAAATAAAGTAGTATAATAATTATAGAAGTTACTGTATAATTTAACATAATTAATATAATTACAAAGAATTTTAAAAGTTTATATTATATACTTTTTTATGTAACATTTACCAAAATTTTAATAAGACAAATAAATAATTAATAAAATTTATTTCTATAATTTAAGTATATTCTACTAAGATTCTATTATTTAGTTAATTTATAATTTGTATCTATTACTATTTAAATTTATTAAATTATACTTTTAGATTATTTTTTTGTAAAATTAACTTTTAAAGATTTTGTTTTATTATTAAAAAATGTTTTTTTTAACTTTAAAGATTTATTTTATAAATTATTGATTAGAATAAGATTAAAACCTTAGATAGTTCATTGAATTTCTTTTTTATATTTTACTATCAATTATTTAAATTGATTATAATTTGAAGTTATAAAGTTAGATTATATAAAATATGACTTTATAAAAATAAATCCAATAATTTTTGCAATTTTTATATAAAAATGTTTAAAATTTGTTTCATATTTAATAATATCTTCATTATAAAATAATAACATGATAAATGTAAAAGGTTACAAATATTGATAATCTGATTGAATTATCATAATAAATATTTTTATTTATTAGTTTAATAAGAATTTATTTATTGTTAAAGCCATTTTTATTAATAAATATTTAATAAAGCTGCATAAAACATGTTTGTATAAACTTTTTGATCGATTTATTATTATACATTTTAGTTTTATATTATTCATTATTATATATAAAGGAATGTGATTTTTCAATAAATGTAAAATAGAAGAAAGATTATTTTGGTATTAGTTTTCCTTTTATATTTTCATTCAAATTCTCTTATCCCTTAAATGGTAAGTAAAGATTTTCATCCTGTTTTATTAATAAAAACGATTTTCCGAACTTGTTGATTATTAATTAATTTCTGTACGAGAGTCACAGATAAATTGCCTAGTTGTTATGTGTTATACGAAATAAAACACGGCTAATTAATCATATTATGATTTATCCGATATTTGATAACGGATATATAGTCCATATGAAAAGGTTCTCGCACTTTAATCTTAAAATTTGCTAAATATGAATGACGATATAGAAAATTCGAAAGTTTTTCTTGTGAAAAAGAAAGAAAATGACGCCCATAAAAAATTTTTTGATGATTTAGAAGAAAAAAGTAAATGCAAAGTTGATGAAAATATGATAATTAATACTTTGGAAAATTGCAATGACAACGAAGAAATTCAGTCACTTGAAAATCTAGTACACCAATTAGCTAATTCCAAAGTCGTGGAATTACCATACTATGGTTCTTTAAAAAAACTTATTGACTTGAAAGATGAAAAGTCAATTATGGAGTTTTTTGATTATTGTGCGAAAGTGTGCATCGAAGAAGAAAAACTTGAGCTCATGTGCGAAGTTATTGTTCTACTCCAAGAATTCATTGATATACCCTTCTACAAGAGTCCGGTGGCCAGGCTTATAAAACAGCTCACTTACGTTAAGGTTCCATTAAAATGGTGTAAATTAAGAGAATACCAATCAATAAACGAAAATCTTTATGGTTACAAGATTCATAATCCAAAGTTGTCCAAATTTGACAGGTTAGATCATACATTCCTTTTCAATTTCGTTATACTGCGCATTAATCGCGATTTGTATTATTGTACGAATAAAGGTATCAAACAATCCCTCAACACTTTGCCACGATGTGCTATTTACCATTTCCCGGCCTATGCAGTTATCCGGAGGACCCTACTGTGTTCAATGCCTTATTTCCACATAAAATAAGTCCCTTTGCAAAATTCATAATCACCTATCCCGACGAAATATTTCAAGCTTCTCATGCTTCCTCTGAAATAATTGATTCTCCAGCTTTTCACGCCATTATCAAGTTTAAGTGGCGTAACTTTGCGTGTAAACGTTTCTTTGTGATTTTTGCGTCTTATCTCTTTCACTTTGGCTTTTTTTATGGAGCGATTTTCTCAAAAATCATGAATCTACGGATTATAAGCACTATCTTGGGAGGATTTCTAACAATCTGCATAATCCGATATTCTTTTATAATGTATTTGAACGGTGCCGGTGCCAGGTTTTTTTCTCCTACAATGTTTCTTACATTCGCAGGGATTGTCCTACCTGTTGTTACTCTATTCCTGGGGATCGTCCAAAACGAAAATAAAATACTCCCTATTCTCCAAGCTTTATCAATCGGTTTCCTTTGGATTGGTGCAATCCAATTTTTAGTTGCCTTTAGGAGAATCGGAATTTTCATCATTGGTAAGTTTTCACAAATCTATCTAATAAAAGGTTTAATAACTTATTAACCTTGTATACCGTGCAGTCGTTGCACATGTTTGTAGAGAGATTTTGTGGCTACTTATCTATTTAGGCTTAGTTATATTCGCTTCTGCCCACGGATTAGTGGTTTATTCCTATAAAATAATCGAAGAAGAAAATGTGACTGATGTTGAAACTAATGCAAAGCTTGGGAAGTTTAAAGAACTTACTCATTATACCAATTCACTCAATGCTTATTGGGCGGGGTTTCTGAGTGATTACAGTTTATGGCCAGAAGGAGATCCCTTTATATATATCGCAAAGGTTGCATACTCACTCTTTATAACTGTCGTAATCCTGAACATTATGAGTACGTACTGTCCTTTATGTTTGCATTCAGCAATTTCTTTCTAACAACTTTTTCGCCGCCAGTTGCACTTGTAAATAATGTCTATACAGAAGTACTTAATCGTGCACACACTGAATGGACCATGGTACGGGCACAAATGATTGTCATCATTGAACTCGCTACAATGACGCCATCTAATCGTCAAAATAGGTATACACGTCTTGTAAAATAATAATACAGTTCGTGCCAATATTCCTACTCATATATTAACCTGGTTCATTGATTTGTTTATTCATACACAATAAAGGGATTATTTTCCTTGGACCATATTTTATAAAGCTTTCACTGAAGATGTTGAAAGTTGGCACCAAAAGCTCGAAACAGATAATATCACAGTTTCACGGAATAAAATCCAGAGTTTAGATGAAATGGCAGATGAAATAGCCAAAATGAAAGATGGTGCGATAAAAACAAAAATGACAGATAAATTAAATGAATTGAGGCAAATCTTCTCATGAAGAATCAGACTAAAGAACCGAAACAATCAATTCTTTATTAAGTGGTCGTCCCCTATGAGTCAGTTAATGCGTTTTGAGTTTTCCTAGGAATAAACCAAACGTATATCATTTATTAAATATTCATTCCTCAAGCAGTAAAATTAGGTAATATGTCCTATCGCATTTATAAATTATATTAATGGATTTTCGCTTTTATCAACTTTTCGGAAAACATGGCATTTTTTGGGTTAATATTTTTTTTTCAGTAATGAATATTTCCCGAAAAAAATTTCGTATTTATGGAATCATAGCCGTGTGGTTTTATTTATAATAAAAAAAAAAAGATTATATAAAAAAAATTACTATTGAACATGCAATTAAGAGAATGGTTAGAATCGCCGAATTGGCATAAAGAAAGATATTTAATGACCCTTGTTAATAATTTTGAAGAAAATAATAAACGTTTCTTTTATAGTATAGTTTAATAAGTTAATAATTATCTTATAAAATATTTTAATATATAACAGTATACTAAAAGGCATAAATTTCTCTAGTTTTATACATATTTTTATGTTGTATAATATTAAAATTACATATTTTATTTTTTATTGACATTTTGACCAATCAAAATGTGCGATAAGCCACATGACTTTAACAGAACATAATGCTACTGATATTATTGTTTTCAAGTAGGATCCGGAGCCGGGCTCGAATTACTACTATAATTCAAGCTGGTCAGCTTGAATTACAGTAGTAATTTAAGCAATTAACTTTTTAAAACTATAATTCTTTCTTGCACTAAGTGTGTTTTTTAAGAAATTTTAAAAGCTTAATTAGTTTATTATATCATACTCATATGAACAAATCCTATTAATGACATTATTTTTTTATAGTTAATATATAATTTACAATCTACAACAAAAAACTCCTAAATGTTATGTAAAACAAGCTTTTATTTAATAATCAGTCATATGTAATAATAATATTATGTGAAGAAGGAATTTTTTTCTCTTTTTTTCTCTTTCAATTAAAGGTAGTTATTTTCTTTACATAAAAGATATTTATTTATTCTATAATTAAAGCAGAATTATTTTAGCATTTATCATATATTTACTTTTAACTTCACTAATTATTATTTAAATAGTTAAGCAATTAATAAGAATTTAATTAATATATAGTATATAATCAGAATTATATTTTTATTTATTGTACCTAAAAAATAAATAAAATTATATATATAGAAAAATTCTAAGCTAAATTAAAAGTTCATCTTATTATTATTATATTTAATTATTTGTTAAATCTCATTAATATGTTATATTAAATTAAATAGAATTTTAAATTTAATTCTTTCACATTCTTTTTAATTATTTCAATAAATTATCTATAATAATTATTTTTTTAATTATTAATTTATTAATTACCATCTTAATAATTATCTATAAATTTTTAATAATATTAAAATTTGAATTATTTGATAATTAATTAATAATTTTAAATATTATTTAAAAGAAATTTTTATTAAAATCCAATACCTTTTTATTTTATTTTTAAAAGATTTTTAAATAAATTTCTTATTAAGTATTTATTTATAAAAAGAAGAAATTTAACTTGAATTTTAGCTGAAATATTTTATGTATAAACTTTATAAAAATATTAAATCATAAGTTTATAAATTTACTAATTTTATAAAATACTTTTTAAATATTAAAATATTTTAAATATGATTTTATTAATAAAAAAACTTATTTTCAATTTTGATTATAAAATTTAATTGTAAATTTTATATTATATTATTATGAAAAGTTATAAAATATTAATTTATTAAAGATTATGAAGTTTTTTAAGTATTATTTTTTATTTACATTTAAGTTACTTAGTTTTTAAATTAAAAATAATTTATTTATATATTTTTATATAAAAATATTTATAAATTAATAATATAAAAATTTTATTTTTTAAAATAATAATATTTTTTTAAAAAAAATTTTTTAATTTATTTAAAAATATTTTAAGTTTATAATATAAATACTAATAAGTAAAATAAAAGTTATTTTATATAAATCTTTAATATTATAAATTTTATTTATCATTAAATTATTATAATAGTTTAATGTTATTTTAATATAAAATAAGATTTAATAATTTTAATATAAAATTATTAAATATAATAATTTAATTAATAAAAAAAATTATAATTTAAATTTTAGTTTAATTACTTTTATATTACTAATACCTACATTTTAAAATTATTATAATTAATATCATATAATAATATAATTATATATATCATATAGTCTTAAAATAAATATTTTAATTTTTAATATTATCTAAATAAGTATCTCTTAAAAGTAAAAAAATATTATTATCCTATTATTATATATATTATTATAAATATTATCATAATTACTATTATTAATGTCAGAAATTTCTAATTCTTTATATTGTCATATAAATTATCTAAAAATTTGTTATAGAATAACTTATAAAAAAATTAATGATAATTTTATTAGATATACCTTTTTAAAACATTTTACCTAATTACAAATATTATTATATTTAGCATATCTAAGATTTCCTATAAAAGTATCTTTAGTATTATCAGCTACCATTCATAAATTCTATTCTTTATAAAGATTATTTTTAAATAATTTGTTAATAGTAATATCAAATGGTTAGCATATATTTATTAAACCATTCAAATAATCACTAAATCAATATTACTATTATTCAATTTTTCTTTCACAGATATTTTTAAATATCTTAAAAAAATTATAAACAAACATTATCCATACTATAGATTAATTATTCTTAAAATAATTGATATATTTTATCATCAATTTCATATTTATTCATCTGTTATCTTAAAATTAAACTTCTATATCAATAGAAATTTGCTTATCACAATTTATCTTTTTTTCTTTAAATATATATATTAGTAGCAGTTTACTTCTATTTATATATAAAAATTGTTAAA